TTAACTACCATTTGGAACAAAGCTTTTTTTTTTTTTATTCAGGGAAATTTTCAAGTTTTGTTTCTTTCAGCAGGCTTTCTGCTACCTTAGTAAATGCAAAACATTTTTTTTTTTTAATTTAGTACAAAAGCATCCAAAAATAATAGGTAAGCTAGGCTTGCCAAGCTTGTAAGGATAACAAGCACGACTATTCCTTACACTCGCTACTGGCCACTTGCTTAAGTGCCAGTACTCTTGATTCAACTCAGTTCAACTCAAATGTCAAAAGGCTTTGAAGGTCAATGCAGCAATCAGCTAAACATCAAAGCAGAAACTGCCTGGAAAAAGTCTTTCCTTACCTGCTGTGTTTGTTGCCTCTGAATTGCCCTCACCTTCGGGACAGGGCTCTCTCTAGAGGATGAGGACTGCTGCCGGGACCGGCTCCCATTCTGAATGGATTCAGTCACCATGGCCCCCGACACTCCCGACATGCTGCCCGTGCTCCGCAAGGAAGCGCTGTGTGGCAAGGACTGCGGTGCTTTGGCCCTGGCGCCCAGCCCAGCCTGGTCCATTTTGCGGATCTGTGCTTGGCTGCTGCTGTTCTGGCGGGGCAGCGCAATGGGGATGTGCTTGTCTGGGACCGTGTGGCGCCGGGAGAAGTCCTCGCTCTGCGTGCTGCGCTTGGTGAAGTCCTCCATGCTGCTGTTGCTGGGTCCGCTAAGTTTGAAGTCTTCGCTGTTGCTTCGGCTCCGGGAACTGGCAGTGCTCAGGTTCTCCAGGCTGGAGTCAACAGAGGCCTTCGGCATCGGTGGGGTTGGGTTGTTGAGATGGTAAACCGGGTTCTGGAACGACAGAGGCTGGAGGCTGCCCTGTTGGTTCAAAGCCGGGTGCAGAGGCCTTCTCACCTGGGGAGCACTCTGGGGTGTGCTCTGAGTTTCCCACAGCTGTTTGATGTTTGCCACCTGTGTGATAGAGAGCTGGCTGCCAGCCAAGCGCAAAGGCACATCGTGCATAATAGAAGCATGGTCACTGTGAGCCGTGTGAGGATCCTGGAGATCCATGAGAGAGATGCTACGTCCATTGGGCAAGACGCTTTCCCTTTCATCCTTATCTGAGTAAGTCATGCTCTGGGTGGATGCCTGCTGAACCAACAGTAAGGTCTTGCCCCTAAAATATCCATCTACATTTTCCTGGGTTGGAGACTTCAGCTTATGCAAGTCACTGTGGAGTGGAAAGGAATTTGGTTAATTTTTAAGCAGCCAAGAACCTGAGAGATCTGTCCCAGAGAAGTCTTTCTACCTCATTTAACCTCCTCCCCTCATACGAAAGCTTCAAGGAACTAGATTTCCTTTTATGAGCTCTTTGTGTTCAAGTCAGAACACACTCTTCCTTAATTACCACTTTATCTTTGAGAATTACACTTGATTCAAGAAGTGCTTCACCTTTAGTTTTTTCACAGGTGAAGTGCAAACCATTCCCACCAAATCCTTCCCCTTTAGACACTTCTGTCTCCAGCAAGACTTCAGAGCAGTTCAGATCCCATTTAATCCTTCGCCAGCATTATGTATTGTGGGGGGCTGAAGATTCAACAGGAGTTGTGTGAAGGCTCCTGTAGATCTAGATGTAAGCTCAGAATGCAGACACTTCCACGTGACAAAACTGGCCCTCATACCTGACAGCACAGAAACTACTCTGAGACCACAGTATCCAAGCTCTTTGGCAGTCCTGCCATGTCACAGCTTTTTGCTTCAGATTAACAGCTATTACAGTGTGAGAAATGCTGCACTGAACAGAAGAGGGACTATTTTTGCTGTTCCACCAGTGACAAGCTCCACCTACGGCCCAGTTTTTCCATTAGCAGTAAATAAGTGGCCCTGTCACCAGAAGGAAGCATTATGGCTGACTACGCATCCGGTCACTCAGACTGGAAGTAAATTGCAAAACTGGTTTTTAGCAGCTGAAGTCATTGACTCCTAGAGACTTGTTTGAGTCTTGGATAAATCAAAAGCTTCAGGTCTCCAGTGCCACCTTGTGCACCGTCTTACTGGGACTGTGTATTCGCCGTGACAGAGGCCCAAGCTCCCTGCTCTTACAGCTGGCCTGGGCAGACAGTTCAGGTGACGAAGCACTCAACTCTTAACAGGCTTAACAACCCCCTTACCCACATCTTCCCTTGAGCTCTGGCTGTTACATACCCATCAGTGGGGTCCTCAAATATCTTCTGAAGCCCTGAGGAGAGACTGCCACTGACATTTGGACTAGAGCTGTGCTCAGTGAAACGCCTCAGCTGCTGCTGTATCGGTGTAGGGTTGGTCATTGATTTGGTGATATCAGCAAGAATACGAGGAAGAGGTCCCAGTTTTGCCACGGTCGCCTGTAGGAAGGAATTTTCACCCTAATTGGACAACAAGCACCGCGACATCCGCCAGTTTTTTTGATAACGATGCACAGAGTCGGAGGGGTGGAAGTGGAAGGAAGGAGGGTGGGTGGTTGTGTGCGGGTGTGCCAGGACCGTAATGCAGTGTTACGGAGCAGCGTAACCACGGCGACGAGATGGATGGAGGAGACGAAACGGGGTGCAGCAGACATTGAGGAAAGAAAAGGAAATAGAAAAGAAATTAGGATTGACCCCCAAAAATAAAAATCATGCTCAATAAAACAAAACTATTGCCATTCCAATGCAAAACTATCATGCAAAGCAAACTAAATCCAGGGTGGGTGAGGTCAAAGTGAAAACTACAGTATCTACTCATTAAAGGGCATTCAAAGACTACAGATTCAGCTAGTGGGGGAAACTTTCCAGGCAAAGGGTGTCATGTGGTAAAGGAAATGCATGCCAACAGACAAGGGGATGCGGCATTCAGGGGGATCATGAGAGAATTGCAAGGGTTGAGGGAGATGGGGAAAGGGAAGGTTTTCATTTCAAGCGCCTTTTGCTTTTGGCATCCTACACTGATGCCATCTTCTGTAGCACTCTGTTATCAAAAACTAAGGCGTTCTTCCCTACTTAAAAGTGAAAAATAACTGCATGAAAACATCGACGATCCCAACATTATCACATCAGTCTGGGATTAAATGTGTAGCTGCTTGTTCAATTACGTGTTAGCTCAGTGTTGGCCTGGCCTAGGATAAGAGCAGCTGACCTTCCAGCAAGGAAGGCTGCTCGTTCAGGCTCTTTGTCTTTCTCCCCTCTTTGGGTCACTGCTGGTTATATTATCTACAGGGCATCTTCAGCCTCTTGGGACTGCAGGAAGAAGGTGAAAGTGCTGGAGGTTTATAATAAAGTAAAACTCTGCTACAAAGATAACGTTCTTTTCAAAAACATATCCTTATTTTTCCTGTAAGCAGGTATTCAGTCAGTCAGTTTGGCTCCAGAGAAAGTTCTCTTTACAGACACTTTTGTACAGCACTTCTTCCGTGTCTATTAAAGTCTCTGAGGTGACTTCTCTCATTGTTTCCCAGTCATTACCTACAGTAAAGCAGTACTGCAATGTAACTTTACCCCTTAATTCTCTTTTTAGCAAACCACTATACCAGCTCCCAAGGGCCTGTTAGGATAGATCTATGCATCTAACCTACAGAAAGGGCAAAGCAGATCTGCTTTGACTGTTTACCCAGGTCTGACTCCTCCCTTTCCTTGCTGCCCAAGACATTTACGACCATTGCATTCAGAGAGCAGCTCACAGTAACTAACACCAAGTCCAAAGATCCATATGCAGTTCTAAAGACTGGAGCTGGGTTTCTCTTGATCTAATGCCTGACCAGCTGAAGGGAGATGGCAGTGTTCCCTGCACTGGTGGGTTTACCCCGATTTGTAGAAATGGAGGATCTGGTCTTTTGAGTGCTCACTTTGCCCGTTTTCCTGAGGCTGCTGAACCATCTTTATAGCTGACTTTGCTGCCTGCGACATTTTGAAGGTACACTGTGTGCATGTATGAGGGAAACGGAAAAACAAGATCATAAATTCTTATTAAACTAAGATTAATATATATTGCCTTTTTGAGTCAAGGACATTTCAATTTACTCTGATGCAACAAGCTCAGTTTTTTGTTTTCTGTTTTAAATAACGTATCGTGAGAAAATAGATACCCAACAAATAACTATTTTGGCAAACCTTAATGCAATAAAAATGTTAAGAGTGCATTGCAATTCACCTCACCTCTCCAGTTTCAAAAGAAAGAATAACATAAATGGAATATGGACAAAATAATGCACCTCTAAAAGTTGAAATATGGAACAGTTCCAAGCACTTGCAAAAAAAATAATGACTCACAGCTCAGCTTTTCTGGATCTTATCAACTACCTTTGCTATCAAGGTTTTAATGATTTTGGATCCCGCAAAGCCACATAGCTAAGGAAGAGCAAACTACTGCCTTTTCTCCTTCTATAGCTAAATGGAAGCAATGCTTATTGTTGGCGATGTCTACTGAGATCAGCAGAACAGAATCTGGACAACGCATATGACCCCAGCACAATACACAGCAGAAAGCATCTTGCTTTTGTTACAGGATAAAACTGAGAGTGGATCCAGGTTTTTACATGGCATCCTCTTGTATACTAAAAACTAATCCAAAGACTACAGAAATGAGAACAGCTCAGCAGGCTTTGGATCAGGTCTTTAATGAGAACAGTTCTGCCTGGCCAACACATTACTCGATCAGAGCTGGGCAGGGTAGGGCCTGGTGTGCAGCAAAGTACCTCCATTAGCATCAAAAAAGGCACTGCAACATTTTCGTTTTCTGTCCAAACACCCTCCCTTTTTTCCAGCTCACTTATGAGAAAGGACTGGCTGCTCAGGGAATTCCAGGTCTACTTTTAAGCGCTGCCCTCTCCACCATTTAACACCCGTCCTTACTTAAGGCTCTGCAAAGTGTTTGCACTACTGCTGAAGACCAACCGCTTCACATGCCCTGCTTTAGGCCCTGATCTGAAATCACGGAAAGAACAATTGTGAAATACCACTATCAAGTATTCCTCTCAAAAGCTGTTGAATAAGTTCTCCCCAAAGCAGGCTTCAGCTGCTCCCTTGATGTTTCCTAGTGTTTACTGTTGCTATGATACAATCGCCAGATTCACCCTCCCGGGCCTCCGGCCTGCTTTACCTTATCAAGTTGGGACACAACCTCCCACAAGAGGGAATGCAAAACTGAGAGCTCTCTGCCCAGGTCGATGTAGCCCTCAAATCCAGGCATGTTTGAGATGGTATCTGGATTAGAGATCTCCAGGAGAAAACGCTTCATTCCTCCCCACTCATGTTCCAAAAAGTCATTCATGAAGGCCATATACTCTTCCTTATTACCAAACCTGCACGAAAGGGGAGGGGGAGGAAACCCAGTCAACAACCTCCAAACAAAATACAGAGTACATGTGCTTACAGACAATTACTTAAATGCTTAACTTTAAACCTGCCTTTCTGAAGATTTGGTCTGGGAGGAAAAAAAAAAAAAAGGACAATTTAAGAGATTCACTGCTTTCTTGGACTTACTTAAATACTAGTAATTCACTGTTCATATTATGATCAAGGGCTCAACAGACCTCTCCCCCCTCCCTCCCACAGACACCCTTTCTCTTCTCCCCTTCTCTGCATCCCCTCCCCTGTAAGAGACATGTCGCGCCCTTTGTATCATTCAGCTCGGAATTCTGGAGGAAGAAAGGAGGAAAATCATGATCCTTGGTGGGAACGGGCTTTTTTTTTTTTTTTTTAAATAGCATACACACTGACATGCTAATGCATGGCTCTTCTTGGTTTTATACTATATCCCCTCTGCTAAATTCAACACAACCCAAATCTGCATGTGAAAAGGAGAATTTATCTAGCTCAGTGCTGAGGTGTCTCAAGGGGAACAGTGTTCACATATAAGTGAGAAGTTTCCTCCTTTTCTAAAGCTGACTTCAATTTGACAAAGAATTAGCTACCTGCAAACATGACTACCAAGCAGGGCTCTCCTTGCTCCATAGTAACCTGCAGTGACTTGCACCCCTACAGGCACAGATTTCAGTTTTATTGTCACCACCTACTTCGCAAAATTGGCGAGATTCTGAATGACTTTAGCAATAAGTGTGAGTGTGCGAGATGTCCGGTCATCAGGATACTCCTGCATGAGGCTAAAGAGGCTGGGGGACATGATAGCGGGGCACAGGAAGCGGAGGAAGAGGGAGGCACTGATCAGGCGTTCACTGATGTCCTGCTTGCCCCTGCTCAGGCACTGCTGCTTCCAAGATGCAAATACCTCCTTCAGCTCACGAGGGAACACGCTGAAAAACAACAAACCAAGAAATAAAATTGCATGGGCAATGAGATGCAACAAGTTGAACTGGTGACCAATCACCTGAAATAATTATCTGTGAGAAATCATCATCGGCTCTTTTTTTTTTTTCCTTTTTTCTCTCTAGGCTAGGAAATGTCATTAGGCATCTATTCTTAGATCCCCATTCAATCTGGTGATACTGAAGTAGTCTTTAAAGCATCCCTTGTTCATATATGTTAAGTGAAGCCATTTTCAGACACACTGATTTGCAAGCTAAGAACTACTTATCCATCACTACCGTGGAGCAAACAGGGTGTTAGAATATTAAAAACAAACTGAACCAAACTGAACTCATCTCCATAACTGAATTTTTTTCTTTTTGCTTGTTAAGATCTCTCAGTATTTTGCATGTGCTTCGTCCTGAAGCAGAAAGGCCATTCTTCTTTCACTACTACTCAGAAACAGAGATTAACAGAAATCTCTCTGCCAGCATTTCCTCCCTGTGATTTCCTGTTCAGTTCTACAGATCTAAAGGGTCTGAAAGTTTTCTATACACATCAAAACTTTCAGCTTTTTATTCCAAGTTCAAGCTAAGCTGTTATCTTCTCACTTTATTCCCTCCTTATTCAGTCACAGCTCAGTATGTGTTCCCTTGGCAGGGTATTTCAGCAGAAGCTCCTGTCAGGTATGGTGTGTGGGACTGGAACCCCTCAATTTGGGCACAAGTTCCACCTGCAATATGGTGTCACACGTAGGAAGATAGGGAGGAAAGGAAACGAAGGCAGTCTCAGAAGATAGATGGGTCTATGCTATTTCCCTGTACAACTGCTGTTTTCTCATCTTCAGAGGAGGAACGGGCACCCTGTAAGCAAATGACCTAATGGGGGAGAAGGGGAGGGGAGATGCCTCACCAGTAAGAATTGATAATCTTGCAGAAGGCCAGCTCACAACACATTTTCAGGTTGCTCTGATGATCTGTTAATTCACTGGATGAACATTTGCTGGGATCCACTTCACAGTTTTCATCTGACTCATACAAAGCCTTGATAAACTCCCCTGGACAAAGGGAAGAGGATGACAAACCAGGGTAGTTACATGAAAAGCCTCCTTGACGCACCTTTTAATCCTGCTTATGCCTTTCCTCGGCAACTGCCTCTTCTGCTCCCTGGGTCTGCAATACAGCCTCCAGACACCAGATGTTGGGGACATGACTCCTCCCGGCTCTTTCAGAACAGAGCACTTGTCGTACCAGATCAGACAGCTGGTGCTCTGATGCTTCAGCCTCCTGTGCCCTCACTGCCCCCCAAATATAGGTGCAATAACAGGATGGCTTTGCTTATAAACCCTGCAGACACTTCACTTATAGTCTAAAGAATAGGATTTGACTTTGTATTCAAATTGTATTATCAACTATAAAATTATCCACAGTCTTAGAAATGAAGCTGTGCTATTTGTCTTCATAATTTCCCCAGGAAATGCACATGACAATGCTATTTATTTTTATTATTTCTAAATGTAGCATTTTTTTAAATTCTAAAAAGTGTCACCTTGCTCTTGAATAAGAGTAATACCAGAGTGCTAGCTAGAGACTGCTAATTTTATCAATCTCTTTTATCAGCACCTTATGACATTTTTATAGCCTGCATCTTTCAAAATCCTTTGCATTTGTGTCACCCTTCCCTTACGGCATTGCAACAGAAACTGGACACATACAAAACCAGATGAAGTTTCCTTTGTTTGACATATTGGAATGAACTACTTACTAATTTTCCTCCTATATATGCTAGTACACCAAGTGATTTTTCAACTGTTGTTGTTCACTAGGAAAACCTCTTTATTCATTCATTTAATGATTCAATGTCTTTTAAGTTCATCTCCTCAGATGATCTTGCTGGCTCTGAGCTAACACCACAAGGCTTGTTTGTGCAAAAGGGTTTTGGTTTTTTGTCTTTGTTTTCATAAAAACCCTTAAATACCTCCCAACCCCCCTCCCCGAATCTCAAGTCAGCAGTGTTCTTGCAAGCAAAGCAGGCAGCACATTTTCTTAAGCTTTTTTTTTTTTGTTGGGGTCCAAAATCTTTCTGCTGCGGGCATCTAGATCACTTATTTGCAAAACTCTCAGCATCAGTTTTGCTGAGCCAATTCTGTTTTAACTGTTGTTTACCGGATAATATTTTTTTTTTCCTTAAACACATTTGAAACTTATTCTTTCTGGTCCACAAGACCCTGCCTTAATCATATATTAAGATGCTCTTACAGATGTATTAAATAGCTAACACCAAGTGTGATGTTGTTAATCCTTTCAAAGAACATGGCATTTCAGCAAAATGACATTTAAAACTTGACAAAGAATTAGATGGGTATATTGTCATGAGCAACCTTGCCCTGAGCTACAGACAAGCTGGATGACCTTAGGGGGAATTTTCCATCTCTCATGTCTATGATTTACAATCTTATCACTCAGCACCAATGCTCTAAATGATGTATTAGAAGTCAATAATTTTTACAATATTTTTATGTAATTACTGTACATTAAGGGACTTGCAGTCAAACGTAATATACTGGTCCCACAGCTGATTGTTCAGTCTGCTGAAAAGCATAGCACAAAGTAATACGCTGCTCATTTCTCCATACCAGGCGAGAGCCTAGGACTGTGACTTACGCTCAGTGGTTCCACCCATGAGAATAAGGCTACCAGAACAGGCTCATTAAACTTAAGAAATGGCCAAAATGCATATAACCACAGACCTGACTATACTGACCTTTGGAGCACTAATTTATCCAACTATCTCCTTGATGACTTGCCAGCGTCTGGGATTGCTAAGGACAAACGAGACTGCTGGGAAAGCAAGCTGCTTTTTTTTTTTTGTGTGAAAGGATGTGGTGTGGGACTTGGCTTTGGCCTGATCTTGTTTCTCTTGTATCAATTTCCAAAGCTTTCTTCATCCAAGAAACAACAGGGGAATGGGTGGCTCATTGTGCAATCTTGGGTAAGAAAGATTGTGTGGAGTTGGTAAAAGCTAACTGTAGCGAGGCTGTGAGTTTCTTTGGAAGAGAACACACACATTTTGGTCCTCTTTATTGCAATATTAGTTGTGTGGACAGTAACTCCCAAGGCAGTCGCTTATGACTAGAGCAGAACCTTTTTGTGGAGAGGGGACAATAATACAGTTATCAGAATCCACCCTGGCATGTAACCATGGACATTAAGACCCCACCAGGGGAACGGAGTAGGACATCACAGGTTGGCCAGGCAGTTTTAATGAGGCAGTGAATAAAGAGCACTTTGGATAAATACAGGCAGGAGGCTCCCTAGACAGTCTGCATCTTGATCTCCTGCCCTGTGCTGCTCAGTAGACCTGCAGCCCCACTCCCTCCGGCCCTGTTTCTCTAAGGGGCAAGGTACCAGTTTAAAAGGTTAACACAAATGTTTATTAACTAATTGCTCCGTGGCAAAGGTAAGGGCTTAGCAAGTCCAAGGGTCACTCTGGAACCTGCCAGCATTACCAATAGTTGCAGCTGAAGCATCTGGAAATGAGTTTTCTTGTACTATCTGCATTCAATCCAAGCGCTAGGGTGGGCATCTCACACTTAACACTCGTTAACACCATAGCTAACATTTGCTGTTAACTACAACGGCAAGTGAAAGAGACTGACTGGAGAGCCCCAGCAATATGCACTTGTGGATGAGAACTTGGGTTGTCAACCAGATACCCCTGGGTATATCTAATTCCCTAGGTGGTGGCACTTTGGCCTAAAGCGACTGCAGGAGCTTCTTTAATGTAAAAGGAGATTAGTGAAATATATGCTTCACATTCATAAGCCTTTCCGAAATCTCCACCTAATTGTATCGCACATGATACCACATTCACTCCTGACACCACAACACAAGGTATTGGTCTCAATTTCCTCTGTTAAACTTTGTGTCAAAATCCCTGTTTGTATATCAGATAGAACAATCACCGTTGCCCACAAATCAATTGCAGTATTATACCTCTTCATCCTAACTGGAGACACAAAAGAAGGTTACCCAGAAAAACATAATGCAGTGATACGAACTTCAAGAGGGACTCAGCTGTATCAAATCAGGTTTGCCTTTCCTTGGGTGCTGCTACTGCAGGCACCAAAAAACATCTTCCTCTGTGTGGAGGAAGGGCATCAAGAGTAAGACAGCATGTATTTTGCTACCTGGATACCAGACACCTGGGCTTAGTGCTGAGGCAGTTCCTTCCCATCCCACACTCCTAGGCGCACAAGGCTTCAGTCATGTTGCAGACAGTTCAGGGTTAGCCCTTGCAACGCAAACAGGTGACAGGCACTTTCTTACCTAGTGCATCGTGAAGATACTTCTGCCCTACCAACTTTAGGTATTCCTCAATAGCTTTGGTAGCAAGTGTGTTCTCCCTGAAGATCAAGACATCATGCTCCCCACAACGATCTACCTCAGACATCACCAAATCTGTCAAGAAGTCCTGAAGAAAAAGGTCAAATGGCAAGAGGTTATTTTAACCAGACTCAGTCATGCCAGGCTAACTGCAGAAGCCAAGAAGGAAGGATAAACAGAGGAGCCAGAGGATTACTGAAACAATTGCCCAGCTTGGGACAAGGGGTGCAGATGCTACACGTAGTATGGGCCAAGGAAATAGCTAGGACTCCTCTTGGGTTTATTGTATTCATAAATGTTATAGATCACAAATTATAAAGGGAGAAGCAAAAGTCTCTAAAAGAAAACCTTTACAGCCAAGCTTGTGTTTCAGTTTAGAACCTGAACAGAAACCCTCACCAGTTTATCAGTGGGTTTGTCTGTTGAAAGAAACAGTGGTATTACATTTATCTTTTAATACTGAATATTACATAAAAACTTGGATTTAAAAATCCAGGATGGAAGTTAGGCACAAGTTCTTACAGCTTGGTTAAATTTAAATAAGAAGAATGGCTTATATCAATTAAATTCACAAACCAAAAGTGGTTCAGGATTTGGGCAAAAAGTTAACATACTTGCTGTGGATCTATACGGCTTAACTTGAACTGTATTCAAATGCCGAGGCATGAACTATCAGCAAGTCTTGATACAGTGAATAACCTCTTGATACAGGGTCTAATTCTACAGTAATACTTATTTCCTGAAGTGATAACTTTATGTGAGTCAAGGACACTCAACATCTCACAAGAAATACTCAGTATTTTGCAAGATCCAATTTAAGCCACTGTAAAGTTCTCCGGGAGAGGAAGCTTTTTTTTAACTGCCCCCCCCCAACAAACCACCACCCTGAATTAGGGCTGAGTGATAACTGTGACTCGCTGGTTCTGTTGCAAACAGCAACATCCTCCAAACAGTTCAAAGAGTGCTGTAGTAAGGTTTCATAACCCCATTAACTACAGAAGCCAGAATGCACTGCTACCATATGAGTATTAAATGTGCAGAACAAATTATATATGATATTTATCTATAAATATATCTATTTTTTATAGATAAAAATGCACTTAGTACTCTTGGCTTTCAATCCATTATCGCTGCTTCTTTTTAGCAAAACCTGAGAGAATTATTTTCACCTGGCACAGCCTGGGAACATCCACCTGCATCACAACCAACACAGTGTGACCCGGAAACGTACCCTCTTTGCAGCTTTAGGTTATGGCAGCCTAAGCTGCTCAGTGCTTCCAGTAAACAGAGGTTCAAACGTTCAGGCACTAGGAAGGCAAAGTCGTAGCACTAATTTATCTACCTGTTGCAGCTAGCACTGCAGGAATCCAGAGCCTGCTTTCCAGCAGGATTTCAACACAACCCTACAGGAGCTATCCCAGCTACCAGCTTCTGCTGATCACACAAACAACTTGGTGAGGAACGAGTTTCTATCACGTACTGTCACAGAGCACCAGCCTTTCAGACATGTATATCAAGGGGAGAACATTAGAGTGGCATATGATTATGCAGACATAAAAGGATCTTTTCAGAGCAGTTAAATTAGGCTGTCCCTTGGATGTTGCTTATGGCCATCCTTCCACATCTCCAACCCTCTAACTTGTGTTTGGTCGTGGTTAACTTGCTCTAGCTGGCAGTACTTGAAGAAGCTGGCTACAGCTTGGTACTACTGACTTGGCAGGCAGCATCCAGACAAATCAATGCTTGTTAATGCTTCTCAGAATTTCCCGAGACCTACAGGTTATTCTCCCACAATCTATTTGAAGAAACCGAGGCTCAGTCCAATTCCTGCCTCACAGAGAACCATCAGTGTGCACCCAGAAGTCCTAATAACATCCCTGGGGCAGGTGGGATCACCATTAACCGATTACAGATTCTCCAAATGGCTGTTCAAACGCTGACCAAATCAATGTTAGCGCTGATTAGCTGAGTTAGCGCTTAATCAACAATGGCACTCTGCTGCTCATTGTACCAGAGACTTATTTATAGAAGTAATTCTCCAGTTTACTAATCTCTCACTTACTTATTTCTTATCCTGTCTCATGATTTTAGAAATACAGAAAAGGTTCCTGACACTCAAGTGCAGGCCGTAACTTTTCAGAATAACATGAAGTTACATAGTACTCCCGCTTATACTTTGTACACAGCATCTCTAATTTTTGTATCAACTCTTAATCATTGTTGGTATCGTGCCTATCTACATGCCTTCCTGGTAGATGCAATTGCCCAAGTCTTTTCAAATACTTTAGAGACCCTTTTCTCAGTCTTACCCTGTCAGGCAACTTCTGCTGTTGCTCATGGTCATGCCAGCCCAGGCTTCCTACTTTCTAGCTGAAAAGATATCACCTATGAGCAGCAAGAGGGAGTCGTTTTGACAGGAGCTGCCTGTTCTTACCTTAGCTCTCCCAGTGCTCTGAAGAATGTGCACCAAAGCGCAAGCCATTTCTTCCTTATTTCTTACGCTGATCACAGGTTCCAGCACAGAGCACAGCATAGTGTAGTTGCTGGTAACAAATTCTGCAAATTCTTTGTATTGCTCCATGGGCAAGATGGTGATGGTCTGATAACGTGACTTTATCCGAATGGAAGGTCCCCCTGATTTCCCTTTGTTGGGTGTAGGTGTGCTGACTGGGTACCATTTCTCCACAAACTGGCGACCAGTTACACTGGCCATGGGAATGTTGACCAGGCCTACATAATTGTTCTTGTCCTTTTTCTTCTTCTTCTCCACATCCTTGTAGATGTGAACTGTGATGCTGTGAAGAGGTGGGAGACCATAGAACTCAAAGTGCTCTCCCCAGAAAATGTTGTCCGCTTTTGTTTTGCTGGTGGTGCGGGCAAAGAGAGTGTCATCAAGGCACAGCTCACAGAAGTATTTCTTCTTGGGGGCCAGGTCCTTTGCCTCAATGATCCAGAGACGGAGCACGTTTTCAGCTCGACGGCAGTTGTCCTGTGGAGAAGAAAGAGCTCAGCTTTGATTCAGAATCCCTAAAAATTGAACATTTTGTCTTCTAAAGCAACAGCAAAGGGCTGCCTTTTGTGTTCAAGGCAGGGACAGAGTCAGAATTCAGAATCAGATTCTCTGATCTTCAGAATCAGAATCTCTAGAAAACTGGACATTTTCTAAAATAGAGGCAAAGGGCTGTCTTTTGTATGTTAAAGGTGGGGACTAGAACATTTTTCTTCTCAAAAAGCTGTATTTGAAATGGTTTAGAAAACACACACTCTGCACAGGAGCCCCTCAAAAGCCGCTGGACTGGCATGGCACACTTGCATTGTTTACTCTTGTGAATAATTCCAAGAGCACTGTTATACCTCAAAGGTGGTACGCCTACTATGCAGGTGACTCATCAGATATTTCCAGCTGATCACTAACTTGACCCCCCTTCTCACTTCGGCTCAAACTCCTTTTGAGTTGGTTTCTTTTTTTCCCCAAACTATGCCCCCACAGTAAAACATGAAACCTATGAAAGCCATGTCCCATCCTTCTGGGGTGCATGGTATCAGAAATCCAGTCTGAAAGCAGGCACTGGGGCAGGGATCAGGAAGCATGCCGACACGTGTTTGTTTATTAAAGGTTTGACCTACTGCACTCACTAGAATAGTACACAGCAGCTTTTGATACACTGATGAGCGGACTTCTCCCCAGACTAAATTAATTGCGCATGCATCTGTGGGAAGCCCTGGTACACTGGACTAAAATCCAATCATACCACCTCCATTCCCCTGGTAATCTTATTTCTGCAGTTTCTATTACCTTATTCGGCTGCACTGTTCTGCGTAGATTTTCCATCCACTTGTCCCTCTCTGCTGCAGAGGAACAGCTGAAGCATTTACTGCCACTGGAGTAGGTTACCTGGAACACATAAATGACAGGCTGAGTTCAGGCAAGCCTAGGAGACATGTAAGAGGCTGCAAAAAGCAAGGAAGAAGATAAGCAATGCTTGAGCAACAAAGTAAATACGAAAAAGGCAGGAAAACAATATGGGAGCCTAGAAGGCAGAGAGGTTAAAAGGCCCACAAAATGTAGAGAGAAAAAAAAAGTCGGTTCAAATGAATATAAAACTAAAGAAACATATGAGGAGCACCAGAGGCTCCTCTTAAAGGCTTTTAAACAAGGCTTTAATTAACCAGTTAATTTATTTTTTTTTAAACACTTGTTAATTGATCCATAGCTATTAAATGCTTGCAGATTTCCCCGTTAAGTCCCAGAGCAGATGATTTGGATACTAACAGCATAGAGACAGACAGAACTAACAATGAATTAATAGAAGGCAAAACACACTGCAAACGATGTCTTCAGTAAACACAAAATATTTCCAAGGGTCCATATATACAGCAACAGTCTAAAACAAACCAGAGGAGTTATGCTCTGATGCGGCCCCGACACTCAATGCCATACACAATTCTGCTTTCACGCAGGAGGGAACCACCTTGGTTTCTTTCACTTTTACGTGGCTTGACAAGCTTCATTTACTCTTTCCATTCATTTGTGTGCACAATTAAAAAGCAATTTGAGGCAACAGACTCAGACCTAAGCTGTTACTCAACTCCCCAAACCTAAGAAAGCTGGAAAGTGCTTCCAACCAGAAGAATGAGACTGAAGCAAACAGGAACAGTTCCTGGATACATCCCAAGGGAGAAGGGCCTGATATGCTGGTTTTCTGCCAGAGCAGTTTTCCAGGTTGTAAACAGATCTTTGTTCCAGAAGTTCAGACACATCTGACTAATCCTGCTGAAGACAGACTGCCACCCGCCCCTGCTACAACAGATTACGATGGCCTTAAGATGCATCCAAATAGCACACACAAATACACTGTTAGTCCTGCAAGGTAGGACCGTGCTCACACAAACAGCCTGTGTCTGAAGCAAAGCTAGGAGCCACGTGGTGCTGTGCTGCAGCCTGTGCTGCAACAGCAAGAGGCTCTTTGCATCCTGCTCCATGGTGCAACGGACACGTCTGCAATTACTGAAGCTTCTCCTTTAGCGATTGGCAAATGGGCTGAGCTAATGGAAGGGGGCTCTGACTGGAAATCACATTTCTCAGTTATGGTATATTTTCTAAATTTAATTTTAGGTGAATTTGGAGAGGATGACTACACAGCTTATGAACAACAGTATGTTTCAACCATACATTTGCATGCAAACTACAAATGCTTAGATATTTATCAAATTAAAGAGTTTTTTCAGTTAGAAGACGCAGTAATTGAAAAAGATTTCTCTCCATTGAGTGATTGATGCCATTAGCCTCAAGGACTTTAAAATTGCATGCTGGTTAGACAGCCCCCACCCAAACCTCAGGATAGCAGCGGCTGCTGATCTGTTCTCCAATTACAAAGTCGCAGAACAGCGTACTGCAAGGGTTCAGACTGACTGACAGCATATAATCGGCTGCGTGTTTGGAGAGCGTTCTTTACCTCAAAGCAGAAGTCTTGTCCAAGGATACTGCTGTGAAGTGGTTTGACAAAGACTTTTTCTTCTGACCCAAGATCCAGGGCCTCCACGGCGCTGCCTGGGCTCAGTAAAGACTCATGGGAACGGGACTCTTTCAGCTTTGGCAATCCACGTGACCTGTAGGAGAAGAAGGGGGAAAGGAAACATTATTTTTCGCACAATTACCAAAAGAGTTGGCAAGATCCCAGAGGAAGCTGCAACTTGTTGGTGTTTATTCAGGACAACTTCTACAATTAGTCTGTAAACCTTATGAAAATAACATGAGGCCAATAATCCCAGACTCCGAAGGAAATACCCACCTACACAAGCCCAGGAAGTCCATTCCCACTGACCTAGAAATTGTAGGTGCTGAGCCATCAGTGAAAGAACAACAGCAAAACAAAAAGTTCAGAACTTAACTGCTGAAATTTAAAGAAACCTCATAGATAGGTTTGGATATATTACTGAAAATATTTTCTACTATCTAGATTACTAGATAAATGTTGTATATTAACAGCAAAAAGCACACCAATACCTAAAAATCTAAACCAATGCAGAATGATAGCTACTCTCATTGGAGCATACGATCCCCCCGCAACGCACTTGATTTTTCTTAATATACAAAGCCTTTACACTAAAGTCAAATATGCAAATTATTTCCCAATCCACAATGCTCAAATCGGTTACCTACATTTAAATTTTGCATTTTCTCCTTCAGCTCCTTCTTCCAGTTTTAACAGCTCCCAATTTTTTTTGATACCTCCATTCGCTTCTAACTTCCCCTCACTAACACACACTGCTTCTCTTTTTCAGTTGACTGGCCTGTAAATCTGAGCTCTACCAGAGCTGGCATCTCCCAAATTCACAGTACCTTTTTATCAAGGCAGTCTTCTCTTTGCCCCTACCAGTTCTTGAATACTTCTCAAAGACATATCCCTCCTTCCACTATGCTGTAGCTTTTTGCAACCAACAGCAACATCATAAAAAGTGCTCTAACACTTTCTGTATTCTTCCAATTCGATTTAATGCAACATTCACGCATAGTAGGGAGCTCTGCTGTCAAACAGCACTGTAAAACGTGTAAAAATTTACAGGTGACAGCAGCTTCACCTGTGCTCCTTCTAACTCCAAACTGACACCTGGATTACAAGCTTCTGCAATGAAGTCATATGATACTTCAGGCACAACTAGTATTTCTACTTCAAAAGACAAACATGATGTGCACACACATCTTATTTCTCCTCTAGCTGGAACTCAGTCAAAGCCTTCACAGATGACCAACAAGGAGGAAGAGCACCAAGTCCCAGCTTAGTAGAAAAGGAGCCGTTTACCTGGCAGGTCTAGATTTTGTTAAGATATTGAAGTCGTGCTGGTCCCTATGCCTGTTCAGTGACTGTGAAAGTGTGTCCATAAATATGGCTTCACATCCACCAAGTGTGACTGAGCACAAAGAACAGATGTTAAAGTAGAAAGGCATCAGTTGTCTATACATTACGCAGAGAAAAGCAATGCTCTGAAATGATGCTTTCTCACCTGTGTTTGTCCTCACAGTATTTCCTCTTATTCAATTCCCAGTATCAAGGCTCAGTATCAAATGGAAAATGTTTAAAAAATGTATTTATGGAAGACTGAAAAGCACATCTACCTCTAACAGCTTCCTTAATCTTGAAAAATAAGTAGTTTTTATATACTTCCCTCGCATATCTTATATAAAAAAATCCTCATATTTTGTAACCTTGGCAAAATCAAATTCCTCCTACCCTTGAGCAATCCTGCGGGGAAACAGAAGGAAAAAAACCATTTGGAAAAGGCGTCTTCAGTACTTCTAAGGCTGCTTAACAAAAACTTGGGTATCACGAAGGATGCATGTAAAGCAACAAGCAGAGTTCATCTGACTGCTGTTTTGTACAAAATGAAATGCTGAAGGTATTCTAGTAGATTCATGTACGATAAGATTTATTAAACAGTAAGGGAGAACTTTGTTCCCATTCAATATATTGAAAGACCTAAGTGCAGGCAGCAAAAACCTTTCATCAGAGGAATATTACAAAGACACTGATTTCAAATGCAAAACAGCAGCACTGGAACAAACGCGTTGGCTGCACTGTGCATGCTTTGTTATAACAGGTTACAGCAGCAGCTGTACCAACACAAACCTAAAACCTCAGTCATGTATAATTGAACACTTGCTGCAAGTTAAGGTAGGGCAAGTCTAAAATAAACACACCACAATATACCACTTTAGTATCATCTCTGCAAAATCCTCTCTAATTTCTCCTCTCAAGAAAGCACTGCTGAGGTCACTTGGCTTCTGTCCCTATCCCAAACTCTCAGAAATTCCAGTCCTAACAAAGTACTTAGGTGCATGATGCAGGGGAGCTGGCTGAGAGCCTGCAGCCAACTCCCGCCTTAGCTCCTTGTCAGAGAAAGAAAGCATGGAGTGGTCACAAAGAGGGGAAAGAGGAGGGAGAGAAAAATAATTACCAAATAAAGGCAAAAGAAAAAGAGATTTTAGAAATCCCAGTTAAGCGGAGGCTGCACTTGGAGTAAGACAAATCAAGCACACCTACATGAAACAATTGTACAGCCACTTAGCAGTGCATCCCCAAATCATAGTGGTGCCACATGTCACAGCCCTTCCTTTCAAACTTCGTTCTCTGGGCTACATCTCAGACAATAAATCCTGCTGGGAGAGGAAAAAAGGCACAAAAATCCACAAGGAGTTCTTCCTCAAGCCTTAGGTTACAAATTTCAGACGAGCATCATGCCAGGCAGATATGCTGGGGCAAGAAGAAAAGTCACAGCCGCACCAGTAGAGAAATCTCTCTCCTCATCGGCTGTGCTCCTACCCGGCCCCGCGGGTGACACGAAGAGGCTCCCGTGTGCGTGTTGCCATGGTGCAGCCTCCTGTAAAGAGATTAGGGGGGGCCGGCAGCCGGGAGAGGCAGCAGGCGCAGGGAGGCCACTCTGCAGACCTGGCAAAAGGGGACCTTTCCAGAAAGAAAGAAGTCCCTCCTCTTCCTTTCCTACAACGAGTTTAACGAGACCTGGACAGTTAAAGACAGCAGGAGAGCGCAAGGCATCTTCCAAGAATGCCTCCGAACAGCCTTTGGGGACACAGTGAGGGCAAAGGCAGGTACACACAGCAATTGTACGCCATGCCTCCACATCCCATCTTGCAAGTTAAATCTTTTAGTAGCACCTATTCTGCTTCATTGCTCTTCTAACTAGTTAGCTTTGAACATTGTTTTGTTGCAGATCAGCTAGAGCATGGTTAGTTTTGTTGACTCAGGGTCCTGGGGCAGAGGAACGTCTACCTGTTTGAGCAATCCCTTGAAGTTACCATATTTAAAACAGCTCAATAAACTGATTAAGTGGCTTAGAATCGGCACTTTATCTTCCATAAACACCACAGCAATGTCGTGAAGTTGTTGCTTAGATGCAACCACACACATTTACAAACACAAGGACATGCATTTGTAAGCACCATGGTATATATTTCATCTATTGATAGATCTGCAAAGCAAATCATTGACTTGTGCCTAAATCAGCAGCATCCCAATCAATATAGGCAATAATTATACAGAAATAATAGTTCTCTGCTGCTTTAAAGCCTGATCTGATATTCTGAAGCTATAAGTAACAATGAAAGAAAATTGCTTGCTGGCTTCCCTTTTGCATAGATGCCACTAACTTACTTCCCAATGTCCACCACAGGGGCTGGATTAACAGGGTCTTTCCTGTATTAGGTAGGAAGCTACTGGTAAAATGAGTATTGCTTAGAGTCTCTGTTAAGAGAGAGGTAATCCCAGAGAAGCAGATTACTGTAAACAGGAAGATCACACATGCAAAAGGTGGGGGAAGGGTTGTTTGTACAAATCTGTTTCTGTTAAACAGCTCCATTAACAACACAAATCCTGTTTTAAATTACAGTCAACCTCCTATGATCAACTTTTTTTTTCCCTGCTGCTTTTTCTTTCTACTGCTGCACACAACAAAAAGATTGCAAAGGACGACATAGGAGTCCAGAGCAAATAGTTACCAACAGCACCGAACAATTCTTACATAGGTATTCTCCGTAATTTCTTTCCAACGGGAAAAGCAGGTGGAGGAAGAGCACATCAGGGAACATTTTAAACTTCTCACCTCTTTTCACATGCTTTGGAGTACTGGTCTTCAGAGCTGCACAATTTCCTTCTAAATCAGAGCCCAGCCAATGCCCCAAACCACTGACCTGGCAGCAATGTGCGACTGCTACTGAAAAAGATCTCTTCAACAACACCATCTTGCTGGCCCAACCCCAAGCTGACCCTCTCTCCTTGCACACCATAATTCAGTAATTTTCCACTTCAGGAAGATCTCGGTTGTAAGCCGGGAACTAGAAACCTCTGGCTTTCGGTGGCCGCCCATGGCACACAGCAGCCTATTAGTCGACTTCTTTTATATTCTACTGTCTATAAGGCATGTAGAATAAAGGGTTAAAATCCTAATTGCTCTGGTTATGAAGCTCTCCTGCTGATTTTGACCTATTTAAAAGCCAACCTACAAAGCACAAAAGACTTTCAATTACTGAGCTTACCAGGGAGAGCACTATATTGCTTGGAAAACAAGCCTGTGGACATAAATAATCCAAGAGATAAAAAATAAATGTACAGAAATGAACTACCAAGGAACAGAATCCCGTAATCTGTTTCCTTTACCAAACTGGTGTGAAGGCAAAGAATTCTGAAAAGAGTTTTTTGTTCAGCCCAAGCACCCGGCTAAAGCCATGTCTCCACTGGTCTTACGCGAAACTGTATGTCTGCATGCTTCAAATAATTCCAGCACAATACCCGTGTGTTTAGAGACACTCCCCGAGATCAGAAAGTTGAATTCAATACTTAGCCACTCACAAAGTCACAGGAGAGACCTTGGACTGTAATGCAGTGAACTTTCTGCTCAGCGCTGCTATTCAAAATCCCAGCCCTGCTGAACTGGACCCTAACGTCGGCAACATCATCTGCAATACAGGTGCGCTCTACCAGTGCTGCAGCATCAGGTTTCCCAATGCAAGTGTTCATTTTGTAGGCACCACACCCCGCTTCGTTTTCCAACTGCCAATTAGCAGAACATCCTATGACTTGGTCAACAATTCTACA